AGTTTGTCGAGTGCGAAGAGAGAGTTGCGGCACGTGAGTGGAAAAGTCGGAGAAACTCGGGGAAAATAGGGAGGTACTGTTAGAGAGAATTCATCCTATTAGATTAGAAGAGACGCCGGGAATACGGGATTTCTTATGAACCCCTAACGCGGAGGTCACGCGGGAGAGAACGTGAGCGATTTGCGAAACTGAAAAAATTCATGCAGGGTATAACCTCCGGTATGTACGCCGCATCTAAGGAAAACATTTAGTGTATCGAATATTACTTAACAGCGAACAAATTACTTAGCAACGATCAAATAAATATCATCGTCGTTTATCGAGCAACATTTCATATTTCTTTTCTTCGAGATAAAGTTGTAAATTAAATTTTCACCGAGGTAAAGTCGCCTCTTCGCGTTAAAAGACCAACGTTATTTACTCGTGCTTATTTTCCAAAAAACTCGGAGACTCCGAATTTATGAAAAAAAACTCAGGATATATTTCTGAGTTGTCCCGAGAACCAAACAATTTGTACTCGAATCAAAGTGAGAGGTTTATGAAATCAACCGAGTTTGTTTGCCTCACCGATCGTGTTTCGAACGCCCCCCCCCCCCTAATCGGTGATTAATTTATAGATACTAGGTCGCCGCACGCGCGACACTTGACCCAGCCGGCCGATCGTTAGTCTCGCGTATATCAAATTAAGAGCTAAGGCGCACTCGGCTCTCCGACGAGACGGCGGGCAATCTCTCGCCCGGCTTGAAATTGGCACGGAAATCGTGGCTTTATTAAATTTGTTTAGGAACAGGTGGGGGGATGATGGGCGGGCCTCGATTTCGGGGCGAACCGTCGTCTATCTAATATCACCCGATGCCCGCCCGCCCTGCCTAACCTTATTGCTCCGACAAAGTAAAGAACCAGCAAGGAGACCCGAATAAGACCAGTTTTCGGGCCGATGGGGACGTAGATCAATGGAGCGACGAGGCAACCGACTGGAATCTACAAACAACGATAAGGAGAATCCAGCGGATGCCGTTGTGAAAAGGAAAAAGCAGAAGGAAAGAGCGATACGAAGAAGTCGTGTTACGAAATCCGTAATTTTTGGTAATGAAATGTATCTGTTAATTGCAATAGTACGCAATACAGCTAATGAAAAGATTACGAAGAAGGTTAGGCTAGATTGAAACCACCTCTTGGAAGTAATTCAATGAAACTGATAAAATCGTGAAGTATTTCAAAGAATGACAAGGGAGTTTTGCGATATTTTGTGAATTTTATAATTTTACATCTCGATTCCTCGAAAATGTTATTTTCCAACGGTCAATCATTATTATCGCTAATTCTGAAATTTTCGTAAGAACAAAAGC